AAAAGTAACATACCTTGGCACCAGGAAGCTGCACTTTCACTTTCACATATTGTAACAGACTCTTTTTGGTTGTAGCTAAAATGGCAAATAGCCCCAAAATTAAACAATGTGCCCCCCTCATTCTGCAACTCAGGCCCTTTACCAGCTCACAGATACACAAAGGGATCAGAGAGAAGAAAGGACATTTGAAGAGGAAGGTCTGGCTATTTCTTTAAAATAGCTAYCTGGATTCTCTCTACCTTGTCTTTGGGGATGGGTAAGATGTTAGCTTTGTCCCTTTAATGGAGAATTTGAAAGGTGTCCTCTGTAGCTGGGGRGCCTCTACAGAGCTAAATTGGATGTTAGGCTGGGTTCTGACTCCCTGGGGAGTCTAATGGGCATGACAAGGCTGATTCATTGCTTTGATGGCAGAACCAGAAAGGCTGTTTGCTATGTTGGGATTGCACAATCCTGATTTATTAGGCCAAGGATGTATGAAGTTTCTTGTTAGAATCCTTGGGGGGTCTCTATGGAGAGAGAGGTCCTGGGAACAACCCAGTAGGGCCACCTGGAAGGAGAGGAGATCYTATAAAGAAAAGTGGAAGGAAAAGCCTCTAGTGGTCACTGAAGGAAGTGGGTCCTAGAGGAGAGTGGGCTTTGGCAATTCATAAGGCCCTTCCTCCAAGGAGGAGGGTCTCCTGCCCAGAGCAGGAAGCCACCTCCCTGAGTTGGAACTGTCCTGGCCTTGATCCCTAGATTTGAGGTTGTTTGAGAAGCAGGAAATAAGGAGAAAAGAGAAACACAAGCCAAATSTGGGATGGTAAGATAGAATCTTGGCTGCATTCCTAGTTTTCATTATTGTATGGGCTGGGACAGCTTCATATTAAAAATACTTCTGGGGTTGGGATTGTGGCTTAGCGGTAGAGTGCTCACCTCATATGTGCAAGGCCCTGGGTTCAATCCTCAGCACCACTTAAAAATAAGTAAAGAAAAAAAGGTTTTGTGTCCAACTACAACTAAAAAATAGATATTAAGAAAATACTTCTGTAACCATTGGATTATTCCTAGGATCAATAAGCTCCAAATCACCCTAAGAAAACACAGACTATGACCATCACTGAAGCCAGCTGGGCCCCAGCTTCCAACTAAGAGTGGGCAGAAGGGGCTTGAGGTTTTGGCATTTAATTCAAAATATGGGATAGATAGTTCCCATTGAATAAAATGGAAAGAATGATGGATGAAAAAATTGTTGTATTTTGATTACAATCTGTAGGTCATGATTTTAATATGTTGGTTAGACAAAAAGTCAGAGCTAATTGTCCTTGATATCAAGGCAATTTTTAAACCCCATTTTTTAGGTAGCAAAAGCCAATGAAAGACATTAGAGAAAATGAAAGCCTAATTRAAAAATTATTGGAAGTGTAATAAGGAAATGTAAATAGAGAGATACCAGTTGATCTAAATTAACCAGAAATAGATTAAAAAACAAAGGTCTATGCTTATCACAACATTTATAGTAGCAAACAATTCTGGATGTAGTAGTGCATGCCTATAATCCCAGTGACTCAGAGGCTGAGGCAGAAGGATCACAAGTTTGATCACTAAGCCTTGGCAACTACTTGGCAATCTACTCTGGTAGATTCAGTAGGTGAGCTATTGTCAAAATATTAAAAAATCAAATGAGCTGTGGATGGAACTCTGTGGTA